GAAAATACAGCTGCGCATCACAGAAATAAATTATATTTTAAAGTAGGCCTATATTAAAACAGTTATTTTAAATTTTATATTAGCATTTCACAGTATTACTGTTTTTTTCCTCTGCTTTTAATCAGGTAAATGCAGCCTTGATGAGCAGCGTATTGAATGGCAGCGTATATATAACTGGTCTGAACAAAAACAGCAGACAGACTGAATGGAAATGCAAATTATCTATAAACTATTATTAGGCATCATATGGGGGTAAAATAATGAGAAAATGCCATTGAAGACTGTCAGTTCCCTTCACATATGCTGTACATTCACATAAACCCAATAAATCTCCCTTGAATCATTAAAATTAAATTTAAAAACGTGAATCACATGTGTGAATCACATGTGCACACTGTGTTTTACCTAAAATATCATGCAGATGAGAGCTTACACACTTCTGTTGTGTTTTGTCGTCTCTTTTTGTCCTCAGATGGACATGTCCGTGTTGGCAGAGCTGTGGAGGTTAATAGACCTGCCGGAGCCCCGGTTCTGCGTGGCTGTTATTGCCATCATCTTCAATCCGTTCTTCTGGAATGTGGTGAGTCACTGTATCTGCGTCTCTTCAGCTTTAAGGCTTGTGTTTATGAAGCCTTCCATGATCTGTGTGTTTCTTGTTGGCTCACGTAATGCGGTTACGTGAGCAGCTCTTTCTTGCATAACATTCGTAAGCATTACTCCGATTTCTGCCGTCCTCCCGCAGTCTCGATTTTAAAAACATTTGCAAACCATTGAAACTGCTGATTGCTCTTGTTTGAAACAGAAAAGCGCATGCCTGGGAAGAGCTGATGTTGCAAAGCTGCTCTATTATAATCATGTAAATGAGTGACGTTGTAGCACAGCACATGTGTTTTTAAGGTGTAAACGAGAGAGTCTTTTATCTCGGCTGTTCTGATAATAGATATTCAGTTTTCACTTTGGCTGTAATTGAAGGATTTGCATATATCCCTGAGAAACACATCCGATAGGTGGGCCGGTGGACATGACACAGCCTTATTATAATTACTTAACACCGACTAGTCATTCAGACAGCCTACCGACTAGTTAATTAAGAACATTTATAGTTTTGCACATCCCTAAACGGAAGAACCGCATGAAATCATTCGATATGCAGATTTCTTTCCTGTGTTAATGCATTTTCTTCTGAAACTTGAGTTTGGGTTACATCACAGCAATCAACCAGGATTTGCTGCTTGATAATTGGTGGGATTGTGGGTGGGAGGGGCTTTCTCATTTTACAGAGCATTCGATTGGCTGCAAATCTAGTGCAGGATGAGTCATCAACAGTTTTGGAAAGTTTTTCCAGAAGAGAGAGAAAAATAACTTTTGAATTGTATTTGTTAAAAGTGAATTGGTAACAGTTTATGAAAAGGTTCCATTTGTTAGCATTAATTTACATGAACTAACAATGAAAAATGCTTCTGAAACATTTATTAATTTTAGTTAATTTAAATTAGCCTATCAGTTTATATTGTTAACACACTACGATAAGGTTTCATTTGTTAACATTACTTAAAAAAAGTTGTATCTGTTACTATTATTGGTAACACTTTACAATAGAGTTTTGTTTTTTGTTAATATAACACTACAGAAAAAAATGTTTTTGTGAATAAATTTGTAAATAAAATGATTACGGAGTATGTTTTACAATAAAATTACAGTTTTTCTACTTCGAAACTTGTTGTTTCTTTGTATTTGTGAAATTTACAAGCAATTTCATGAGTGAAAACTCATTCTACACTAAATTGTACACTCATTTTTTTGTTCTTACACTAATAAACACAAAATAGCAATGA